AGACGCCTTTGGGCCAGTCGTGCATGGGAAAGAGTCTCACAGCCTGTACGTCATGCCGCACTGCTAAAACATGCCAGCTAGTATACCATTATCGCTGCGTAATGTTCAATCCTTTTCAGCACCGTAATTACGCTGTGGGCGATCCATGGCCGGCTGCGCTCGTGCACATGTGGTGTCGCAGATTCGAAGAGCCCTTCAGTCCTTAAAAAGTGCCTTCTCTAGGCGTTCAAAAGCAGAAGCAGATGAGAGGCTGCAGTCCGCTGAGGCTATTGCCATGAGTAGGGCCACTTCTTGCTGCTTAGCTCCCACGTTTGCTCTCTGTGCTGCCTTCAGTAAACAGAGCTTCCTTACTAAACGCAGTGCACAATTTGGGTGAATGCGGTACTCAGGATACTTTGACTGTTTCAACCTAAGCTCTCCCGAAGCAAAGGCTGGGAACGCCATTAGTACGGTTTGTGAAAATCTGGAAGAAGACACTTCTCGACGCAACTGCTCGTTGTATGCACTTATAATCGCTGAACAACTCAGAAAGGTTGGAGAATGCATGTCGAAAACGACCCCTAGTGATACTGAGCAGAGAATAGGTGAGCGTGCCTCAATTTTTGGCTAATCAGCAGCGGCAAAGGGGACTAGGGAAATAGAGAAACATGCCACATGGAAGCCAAGGAAAATAGATTCATGCTTTTGTCTGCTTCTTCAGAATGCTTGAAACTGTATCGTCTTTTTTTAGTTCACCCATTCCTGCGTGAAACAGTAACTGGCGCTTCAGGTAAGCCCACAGTGCTTCTTCTTCTCGCTGCCCCTAGTGTGTCTCAAATTAGCTTTCAGCGTACATGAAGAATTCAGCGAAAACAAAGTTGGCATTTCTTGTGCTCCTGGTATGCGTTATGCAGCGGAAGGATACAAGGATGCTGAACGCTGGTTCAACAGCCTCGAAGTATGCCCTTCATATTTACCTTTGCTAACGAAACAGCGTCGTTAAGTATAGAAAGGCTTTCCTCAGCCTACTCCTTATTAATTCCCATATTGCAATGCTTTAGTATGGCTTGGTTTGATGCACAGTTCTCGAGTGGACCCCCCGATATTCCCCTGATTCCTGGGGGAGACTCGTTGAGCCAGGCGTTTGCGAGGCTTAACTGGAGCGCCGTCGGCACTGCAGATAACCAGCACATTCTTTTAGTACACTTGTTGAAGAGAAGCAGCCTAGACCTGCGAAGCACAAGAAATGGGTTGAAAAGGGTCTGGAACAGAATGAAAAGGCGACAGCCTACAAAGGCAGATGCTACCAGACCAGAAGCTGTAGATGTAAGTTGGCCCTCAAGGGATACTTGCGGCAAAAGCGCCAGCTGTGTCGATTGCAAACTGGAATGGTCGTTCTTTAGTACTTCCCAAACAACGCTTGGGCTTCACTTTTGCTATGTATTCCTTGCCGCAGCTCCTTACTCGAGGATACGAGCTGTTCGTTAACATCCCCCCGCACGCTGACCCCGTTGCAGTCCGGCTGACTACTACAATGCTGGCTGACGGGGTGTCATGCCCAGCAGGCAGCTCTCCTAGGATTCCTGAAAAAATTGTGTTGGGCGGGAGGAAGCCTGTCAAAACGGCTCAGGTTATTGAAGCTGCCATCTTGATAGCTGTTGAGAGGCTCTTTGATGCCAGCGACTGCGTCAGTTTCGACAGAAATGGCAACCAAGCGGACATGACTTGCAGGCTACTTGAGAAGTACGATCAGTACATGCAAGCTGGAAGGCCTAAGGCGACGGAGACTGGCTTCTCAGGGAGGCTCCAGGATATCAAAATCCTTGACTTAAGCTCATCTCCTGCCAGTGGCGAAGAAACTAACATCAGCAGCAGCACAGGCCCATCGCCACCTGGAATGGAAGCACTTGGAAGGTCCAGTAGCTCACTTAATGAGAATGAAGGGATGAGCGCTCTCCAGGAGATTCAAATTGTTTCACAGGAACTTCGAGAGGAGCAGGCTGAACAACTGGCAGAAAGACCCCTGGAAGAATCAACTGGGAGAACGGGCCGTATACTCATGTATACTCAAAATGCAGCTGCTTCGGCTGTTGCTATTTCCCGATTGAGTATGTACACTATGGTCAGAAAGCTTGTAGCTCAGCAGCCTTCCCGTGGCATTTGGCTTCTTGGAGCCTGTTGGCGAAATAAATTTGCAAGTGATTTGCCAATGCCATTAGGTGACGTCTGCTTCTCGCGATCATTGTTTTATTGTCCTTTCAGGCTTGAAGTCGAGCACTGTTACCATGCGCATAGTGACGTTATGCTTGCGAAGCTCATTTTTCACGCGGCAGGCAGTGAGACTTTTGTTAGCCTTCATGGGTAGAGAGCTAGTCCCACAAGAAGGACTCTCGATTTTTCTCCGAAAAACAAACCACGGGAAGCGCTACTTGGGAATGTATCTGAAGGCACTTGTGGAGCTTAGCACAGGAAGCAAAAGCTTCGGCAAACTCTCAGCTGCAGTGGCTGGTACAGCAGCTGATGAGGAAAGGCGCGTTATTCGCAAGCAAGAGCAACTCCAGGCGTCATTCGTACAGGTTGCAGCTGAACCTGCAAACCAAGGAAAAACTACATTGACCTTGACGGTTGCAACAGCAGTCTTGTTAACCCTTCTGTTTGTGGCTTTCAGTGCTACTTTTTCATCTGTTGTGGTAGCCATGGCTCTTCTTCTAGTTTTTCTCCTGCTCGCAAAAAATCTTGTGAACACGTTCAATGCATTGGGGTCATAAACAGTTGTAGAGAAGCAAAAAAGGGGAAGGAAAAGAGAGTCACTAACTGGTGTTATTCAGTGATTTGGTATCATGAATCGGCAAAGCTTCGTCTTTCAAGAGCAACTGTATAGACAGCAATCCGCTTGCCCGGAAATGGCCCCACAAGGAGACCCTCACCAACAGGAGACCCTGGCGGGAAAAGGTCAAAGTTTCTCAAGGCGTCTTCATTTGCCTTTTTGTGCTGCGGGTTTTGGCATTCGCTTCACTGAACTTTCATCGCAGCCTGATTTGTTAGGCATTCCGCGAACGCCTGCTGCTCCACAGCAAGTGATTCGCGTGCATCGCGAATTGTTTTAAAGAGGAACTGTTAAACGGGAACTGCTCTTGTGCACCAAGCCCCAAAGTTTTTTGTAAGCATCCGCAATAATTCTGCGAGAGCCTGAAAGGTGTTGAAAGATATGCAATCTAACGATAAATTGTCAAAAATTAACCAACTTCCGCAGGTCTGCAGCCTGGAAGTGCGTTTAACGTAAAGTGCATTCCTATACGCAGATTAACCTCTGCGCCGGTGTCAGTTTCCCATTTGTGATTTGTCACTTTGTCAGAACTCAGCCCTTGATAATTTCTGCCTAATATCATGCAAGACGTGCCAAATTCTGCTGTAGTGGCTTTCACCTGCTACGCTTCTTTTTTGCCGTTCAACTGGGCTCAGCTGTTTGCAAGCCACGCATCAGAACACAACGCGGCACGTAACTGCACGCACTCTGTAGGCCTATTCATTCACAATCCACCCAGCAATGGACGCGTGGGGGGAATCTTCTGCGTATTCAGGCAGTGAGTTCTGCGGTTCCCCACTTTGCGCTTGCAGCAGCGACGTGCTGTAGGCCAGAACATGCATGCCACATGCTCTAAGAAAGGAATGCTCCTGTATCCGACTTAAATGTGCCGAGCGGTAGGCAGCTCGCTGTCGTCGCCCTCATCACTAATGCAGAAGCGCGCTTTGAAATCTTTCCCAAGCTAGCGAGACACTGAAAGTATTAAAAACTGCTTGACCGCACCGGCGGCGGCAGACGCTCGAATTTGAAAAAAAGCATAATAATCAGTCTTGGGTCTACTGCTTTATACTCGAGTGTGTCAGTGCAAAAAGCAAGTGACACTGCGCGCTGAGACAACAGAACACGCCCATACCCACAACATCGCCGGCACTAGCACAAATATTGCTGGTAGTGTTCGCCACGGCCTGGGCCCGACAAACATAATGCAAATTAATTTACGTCACCACAGAACTACAACTTGCATTGCTCGCAGTCGCCCGCCGCTAGAACGTTCCCTAATAAACAAAAAAGCGCTGCGTAGAGCGTACATTGCCTCAGTGGAAGTTGAAACCATATATTGGCTTGCTTTATAAACGAGCTGGTTGGAAACGCCTTAACAGCGTGAATCGCAGGCTTGTGCAGATAAACCCAAGCCGCTCATCGAGGAGTGGAGCCAGCTGCGAGCAAGAAGAATACTATGCTCGCAGTTCCTTCTGTCTGTACCCTTTAACCCCGACTGCTTCCCGAACTAGGTCCAAACGGTGTGCCCCATCCGCTACAGAACTTCCGGGTCTTCAGCAGCAGCTTATGCCTCTGCCGAGCTGAAAGGAACTGAAGGAAGCACCACCGCCGTGTAGACGCTCTTGAAAGGAAAGGACTTGAAGGCGCTGTGCCAACTCGCCGCAGCCATTAACAAAGTTTTCCCTTCGTAGCGCTCATCATATGTGAAACGCTTGAGCCCCCATTACAACAGACAGCACGAGCCGGAACTGCTACACTTGCTGAAAAACGTGCACTGAACCCGGTAGCTATCTTCACGGTCGGCCCATCATATACAGATATCCTCAGACGAAACCCATCCATCATAAAAGTGTACTGAATCCCCCACAACGCTAGCCCTCATGCATAGTGAGAACAAAACCGCACGACGGGCCTTAGTGCGACGCCAGTTCGGGATGCGGGACCTTCGGAGCCTATTACCAAGATGTCCGCGGCAAAAATGCTGAGGGAACTTTGTCCTAAAATATTCGGCGCAAGCGCGTAGCATGGCGCTGCAACAAGCTGGCAGTGATCCAAAGGTGCAGAGCGTCATTAACTCATAATCTCTGACAAAGCAACGCTACCCCCTGTGCGGCATGCACTTCGTCACCTTGTTATTCCACCATGGTTTCGTCCACACAAGTAACACGTGATCCGCAACAATATCCTTCAAAAACGGAAAGCTTCCCAGTTCGCTTTAAATAACGTCGGCTATCCAGGTATCCTTCTTTTTCTTCAACAAGTTGTCTCGAACTACGTTTCGACTCTGTTTGTGATCGCGGTCGACTTTTTGCAAGAGGTTCAAAAATTCCGCAGGAGTCATTTGGTCAATGCTGGTGGCCAGAAGGTCTATCGCCTTCAACCGGTTCGTCACTGCATCGCTCACGAAACGGCACGGGTTTTTACTGCACGCCTCTCTTTGGATTGGAGTCTTCATATCGAACAGTTTCTTGGCGACTCTAAGACTAGCACAAGTTGCACCTTGAAGGGACGCAAGCTCTTCAATGCTCTTGAATGCAGAAGAAGTTAGCACAGACGCCACATTTGACATGATATTCTCTGTCTCCGATCCCCATCGCTCTGTAAGCTCCAGTAAACCCTCAAGTAGGACCTTCTCATATGTCAGTAGTGCTTTATACGTGTGGAGTGCATCTTGCACTTGACGCTGTGCTTGCCCATCCTGGTCACCGGACGCGGCTCTCGCCTGAGCCTGTCCAAGCGCCTGTAGAGCGTCATTTTGTCGCCGTTTGATCCTCTCAACGTCACTACCAACCTCGAGAAGAGCCAGCTTCGCCCGCAGCTCCCGGGAATCCAGGTCGAACTTCGTGTTTGGAACGCGGCTAGCCTCCATGGCAACCGTCGTCAGCGTCCTCCCCACTCTCTCGTGCAAACCACTGAAGCGTCTATTCACTGCATCCACATCAGCTTCCTTTTTCTGTTCCACAAGGCCTGCGCTTGTGTATCGCTTTGCTATCTCGCGTGCTACGTTAAACGCATCCGCCGAACGGATTTGCACCGGCACAAATTCCATTTTGTCCTCTGAAGCTGGAGTGCTCGGGCGATCCTCTCGCCATTCCATCTGTACCGGGACAATTAAGGGCTCCACAAACACTGCAACGTGATTTACAGGCGTCTCCTGTTGAATATGGCCTACCCAAGCTTTCGGCACTTTACCGTATTCTGTTGCAAAGGCCCCAGGCTGCTCCAACACAAATGGTACAGTTTGTGGCCTGAGATGAGTGCTTCCTTCAAAATAGAACATATCCCCTGCCATAAAAGGAGCTGGTCTTATTACGGATCTGGACGGCAATCCACCCACAAGTGTGACCTCATTCTCCAGATCTGCGATGAAGCCTCCGCCTTCACTTAATCCGTGCCCTTCCCGTCCGCCCGAGCCCGACTTGTCCAAGGAAATTTTCGAAAGTTTAGGCATGCAGATCTTTGCTGCCATTGAAGCAAACAAGACAACCGCCACAAGCCACAGAGCCAATGTTCGGCTACGCCTTTGGGTGGGCTTGGGGCTACGAACGGGCCTGCCATTGGGAGTGCCCTCATTTCCGTATGATTGTTTTGGGATTGAGAAATCATCAACCACTGCCCCTTCAAAAGATTCTGACCATTTCGCCTCCCGCTCCCCCAACCCAGGTAGGGTCTTTTTCCCAGTCATCTTGGGGAAGGCAGGGAGAAACTTCTCCAGCTTCGCCTATTGCCCGAATGCACGAAGAAAAGCCAATCAAAAAAGGATTCAAACTAGCTATATCCATGCCTAGTGTAGCATAAGAGGCTCCCGCCTAAGTTCTAATGATCGCTTTTGGCGCTCACAGTTCACCCCACGGGGCTTCATGCGACTCCTGAGCATCACTTGCAAGCTCCGGAGATACGGGAAGTTCAAGCATCTAAATTCGGTCTTTCATCACTTGGCATACAACATGCAGCTTCTCCAGCTGGGAGATGTTGTTCTCTTCGCGTGCTTGCCTTCGTGGAATGATGCGAAAACTCGAGTCGCACTCCTGTGTTTTGGCCGAGTAATTGGAAACTTCACCTTAGATAACGCATCATTTTAGAATGGCAAATCGGATTGATTTATTGATAGATTACTTCGCTGCACAGTGTCGGCAATCTCCAGTGCCAACAGTTCGTTGCCGCTCGGCGCCACACGCTAGCAGTAGCCTTGTAGGTACCGCTGGAGTGGCTGAATATGAAAATTCAAGTGCTAGGAAGGTATGTCAGATGTTTTGGGGTCATTTTAGCCCCTGAATGGTTTCTATAACCGGTTTATGCACCAGTGGTCTTGCATTCCCTAGTCCCAGCGGTTACAGACAGGCCGGCAGCCTATTATAGCCTAGAGAGGCTTCTTTCCTTGGTGGCATAACAAGGCTGGTCTAACGAGTTTCTGCATGAATTTCGTCTCCATGGAGCCCATTTCTTATGCGCGCATTTTTCTGCGTAAATACTGTGGGGTTCCCCTAACAGTTCCTGTGGAATTGAAATCGATGTGTTTAGAGGATTTGGTGTCGACCAGAAGGGAGGGAGGGGCATGGGAGGTACCAGTTCCCCAGCTTTTTCTTATTGGGGCACTCCTGCCGTGGCATTCGATGGAATAGAAGGAACGCAGAAACTTCAAGAGGACGAACTGTAGTGCACACCATGCTCGCCCTTCTGACAAATTCTCTACGTTCGACACATTTCTCGTAAATAATGCCAAATTATTAGAAAAAGGCCGTCATCTCTCGAGTTGTCGGTCTGATTTTCCCAAAAGTCGCACACTCATGGTTCTTGCTTTCTTTGCCCGGTGGGGCGGTGGCCCGCACCCGTGCCGGGTGTTCGCAGACACTTCTAGTTTGCACATGCTAATATCCTGATAAATTACCTTACTTTGTTACTGGTAAGAAGTTTCCGTGCTCGTTCAGCATCGTAACTTTTTATATGCCACGAGCAAACTACCCTCTTAAGCTCACCAGCAGTCCCTATTGTAGTGCCCGTACACCACACCAGCAGTGGGACTGCTCAGCGTTTTGTGCGAAATTCCACAGTGGCCAGGGCGGAGGCGTTGCCCCGCATGTACAGAAAATCTCAGGAGCTGTACCTTAAGGAGTTAATTAAACTGCTTAAAGTACAGCTCCAGCGATTTTCCGTATATGCGCAATTGAGTGGACGGTTGATAGAGCGGGTTATTTTTAGTGGATTTAAAAACACTATGCAGGACAGTGATTGCACGCATGTCCGTTGAACTGGCTTAGTCTATGCGTGCATAGGTAGCGCAGGCCAAAGAGTAACGCGGTGACACCAAAATATGTCCAGTTAAATAGATTCCTTTAGGCTCAGGCCGTGCTATACACCACACGGATACTCTTGCGCAATGCGGCTTTGTACTTTGTCTACTACCCCATAAGCTGCAATCAGAACAATTCGTTACTTGCCTGAATCAACTAAATTTACATATCGCCAGAATTGCTCTTGTAATGATTCTGCATGCTTAAAGGAGCGATGTCGACGGAGAAGAGCTGCACTTTCGAATTGACCTGGCAAAGGCATTCAATCACCAACTTTGGGTCACTCCCCGCAGGATGAGAAGCCTAACGCTCTGTAGAGTTGATTTCAGTGGCCGTCGGAACTCTGGCAATTCGCAAACTATGCGTTGAGGCAGTCAGTGTGCTTATTTTGAGCTGTGTCCAGACTGGCCGCTCTACGGTGTCCCCTGCTGGCCATATGCGTGTATTCGCGTCCCGAATTTTTTCATGAGACCCAAAAGTGCATTTGAGTGCAAAACGCTTTGCTTTTCGTAAGATATGCTTAATCTTAAAACCCTGAACCATAAAAGCTTAAGATTCCGAACTCCACACTAATGTTGTAGTGCCGCAAAGTTCTTCGTCTTTCATTATGACTGGTTGGTGCGTTCTTTCGCCGACTACTTTCAGGCATCGCTGTTACTCCATCCTAAGGCCTACAACGTTGTTTCAGCCGATCCGCGTTTCTACTTTGCCTTTATTCCTGTGTCGTTTCCTGCGGGTGTGCTTTATCATACCTCCGTGTAGATAGCGCCGTCCCCACCTGCTATGCAAAGACTGCTCCTCTGTGAATTGCCTCGGCACCTCGCGTCGTTGTCTTACTTCCAGCCTTCCAGTGTAGGCATGCACTTCGTTGTCCTACAAATGATACGAGCCGCTACTGTAAATTAGTTTTGTACCATGTAAATCCTTGTGGTACTCTACTTTTCAGTCCTGCATATACTCGCCCTTCACTCCTTTTTCTGACTCCCTTTAGTTATAGCCCAACCTCAAGTCTAGGTAGAACGTTTTGAGGGCTTCTGTAGCGAGCAAGATCTCGCCTCACTCCTAGATGATACTCTTCTTGTTGGCCTCTCAGCCGAACAGCCTAGACTTACTCTAGTACAAGAACTAGGTTTCTTTGCCGATAAATTTTCTAGTACTGCTCCTTGCGTAGAATATCGAACGTTGCAACCTTATGGATTGCCCTTGTGCGACATTGTAGCGCTACGCACTACACCGTTGGCCTCCCATGGAACATTGTAATGACTGGAGTTGTGGTTTCTTCATCGCGTAAACATGGACCTTTAGTTGTAAACTTGTATAATCCACCTTCTCCAGTTTGATCACCACGATACCAATTTTGTATAGTCAAATCGTTAAACATTCCTTGCATTATATTGCTTCGACGCACTCTTTGTTTTCCCTGGATCCCTTTCGCTCTTGTTTGCTCCTCAATTTTTCAGTCATTTGGTTCTTTCTTACTAATTTAAAAAGCAACAAGCTTTATGTCTTTCATCACATATTTCCCTCTTTTGCTCACTCTCTTCAAAGTTTTTCTGCGACTGTGTAATTTACAACTATTTTGCCGTATTCGGAATTGAATCCTAGTTCTCCGTTAGTTAGTTTGGCCCAATTTTAACTTCAGGAGCCTAGTCAACGGGTTGCCGCATTGCCGATCATTACCTGTGGTGACTATTGAGTGGCGGCACAAAATACGCTAATGACCTAGTCACTGGTTGATGTAGTGCACTCTACAGTTAGGCGTGGCGGCTGAGGATGGCAAGACGCGCTGAAGCTGCAGTGTACCGCACACTTGCGTAGAGAAGGGAAAACAAGGCGAGACGTCTCTCCAGACAAAAGGACTCATAATAATATTATACTTGAAAGACATTTAGTGCTCACAGTGTTCTTAGCGAGTAATGTTTGGCATGAATCGACGTAGTCACAACACCAGAGGAACGTATGGGTCAAACTTGGCCTCCTCGAACTAACGATACCTTGGTGCCGTGGTGAGACTGGTCGCGGAAGAAGGCTTGCAAGAATAGGTAGCGGCCCTGTGGGTAGATGCTGGATCCAGCTGCTTTGGTGTGTGCAGTGATAACATTTTGGTTAGTGGGTGGGCTGCAATTAGGACGGCGCTCTTTCCTGATGCGCGAGGCGAGTAACCAGAGGAGGGACCGGCATCTTTTAGGTGAAGAGGACGAAGCACATGGGAAGTAGCTTGAAGCTGAGAGGCGGGCCGTGCGTATCGAAAAAATAGTGCGATGTCTGGAGGATGGCTTTCTTGGGGTACACTGTGGAAGGTCACCTGCGCCATCCGCCGCTGTGAAGGCTGTTTAGTCTAGTGGTATGATTCTCGCTTAGGGTGCGAGAGGTCCCGGGTTCAATTCCCGGAACAGCCCTCCATCCCAGGTGCTTGACTAGAAAATCAGCACCCGTGGCTGACATTTTTCTTGAAGTCCTGGTTGCGTAGTACCTGATGCGCAGTATATAGGTGAACGGGACAAGATGTGGCTGACGCTGTCAGTGAAGCGGTTGCCCTAAGAGACTTACTTGCTCCGCCGCGCCCCTCAGTGCCAGATTTAGTACTGCATATTCGAGTGAATTATGTGAGGACCTTTTGGTAGACAAACAATTATTCCTGTAAGCAAAGGAAAACGTAAGTTGGTGCTCCCTTCTCTCTAACGAGAAAGCGCCTCCAGTGTTTACCTGTCGGCGCTTGCCTAGACTACTGTGGCATTGACGCATGCTGCATGGTTTCTACTCCATTGATTGACCAGTATGAGCCCGCTGTTAGTAAAATTTCTGAGAGAGCCGGAAGGTCTTCCCTCGTTGTGCAGTGCTGGCCGTAGTGCGCGGCGCCTACTGCTGCGACTACGCTGCTTCCTGCCCCTCGAGCAGGCCTACAAACTACGCCTAGCGTAGCCCCATTTCTCGGATACTATAGCTTTATTCCATCGAAATACAACAATTCTAAAGTGTTTCAAATCTGTCTGTTCGATTTGCCCCACTCTGGGAGCTCGCCTCCTAGGCCCTATGGGGAGGAGGCCCGCACTGGTGCCGGCGCTATCGCCAGCCCCAGTCTCCACACAATTTCCACACATTTCATGTATTCATTAGCACTAATAGACAGTTTTTCTTATTTTAATCTTATTGGGAGAGTCCTGTCCTCCTCCAGTGTTGCGACCCCGTAGGTCGCTAGCTAGCTATCATCTCTAGGACACTAGCCAGCCCCATTGTAGTGCCTCAGCACTACAACTTCCCCCCTTGCCGGACTGAAGAGACCTATTCCAAACGCATTATTTTTACCTTCTCAATCTCTGAGCTCTTCTAAAGCTGACGTGGTGAGCGCGAGCGGTGCGCAGCGCTCCCTCCCCACTCCTCATTGAAGTGTGCCCGTGCTGTAGGAGCTGGAACGTGGCGGACCCGGACGTCTACGCCTCGGAAGGACCCATGTTGTTTCGAGCCTGAAGACGTCTTCGTTGGCGGCGGCGCCAAGCGCGAAGCAAAGCCGGACAGCCAGTAAGGTGATGAGCTGGCTCCCATGTGGCTTGATCTTCAGGGGCCCCGCGCCACTTCACGAGGTACTGGGCTGCATCTCCCGAGCCGCGTTGGTCCATAATATGGTCTACTTGGTATTCCGCTTTGGGATTGCCTGCTGCATCGTGGATAGGAGGCCAGGCAGCATCGGCTGCCGAGGGAACCAAAGCGGGAGGGAGGGGGCGGTGGGGAACTAGCTGCGAAACGTGGAAAACGTCATGGCATTCATACGTGGGAGGCAGAGCGAGACGGTAAGCGACAGTTCCTATGCGTTCGATGACTTCGAAGGGTCCACAGTAACGGGGCTCGAACTTAGGGCAGCTGTTGAAAGGCGGTAGGTGCTTGCTGCTGAGCCAGACCTTGTCGCCCACCGCGTACTCCACTGCTCGGCGCTTCGTGTCTGCGTAATACTTCTGCTGCCATTTCGCCTTCAGGATGTGACTCTGTGCTCTGTCGCAGAGCTGTCGGAAGAGCTTAGCCATCGGGGGAGTGAGTGTAGGAGCTAACGCGCCTACGATATCAAGGTCCGCAGCAGTCAACGGGTTCTCGCCAATCATGACCTCGAAAGGAGAGAGCTCAGTGGATGAATGACTTGTTGTGTTGTAGGCAAGTTCCAAGGCCGGAAGCAAACGCTCCCATTCGCGTTCGTCAGATTGGATGTAGGTACGAAGCATTTGCTCGAGTGTGCGGTTCACTCGTTCAGTCTGGCCGTCGCTTTGGGGATGCTAGGACGAGGACATGCACCGTTTGATGTTAAAGCGGCGGCAGAGCTGATTCCAAAGATCCGACTGGAAACGGGGGTCTCGGTCCGATATGAGCACCTCTGGAAAACCATGATAGCGGATAAGGCGGTCTGCGAGGAGCTCCATGGTGTCTGCTGCTGTGAATGACTTCTTTGCAGGAACGAAATTAGCCATCTTGCTAAGGGAGTCCACTATGACAAGGATCGAGTCGTGCCCTGTCGTTTTAAGCGGAAGATCTGTGCTGAAATCGAGGCTCACGTGCGCCCATCGGCGAGAAGGGATGAGCAACTGTTGAAGAAGGCCTGCAGGCTTCTGGTTAATGAACTTTGAAGCGCGACAGTGGGTACATGACTCAACATAAGCGGTAGTGTAGGCACGCATTCCAGGCCAGTAGTAGTGCTTGCTGAGAGCAGCAAAGGTCTTTTTCTGGCCTCGATGGCCGGCTGTGACATGGTCGTGATGCGAATGCAGAATATGAGTAAGGAACTCAGGGAATTGTGGGACGCAGATGCGCCACAGTCCATGAACGCGGATGTGCAGGTAAGGCTCTACGTAACGAAAGGTAAATTGGCGATGACAAAACTCGATTTGCAGAGCTAGAACGAGTATTTCTGTTGTGTGGGGTTCATAACGTGACTGAGGAAACCAATGGGCTTGCCTTCTTGTTCTAGAACCGCTCCGATCACATAACCACAGGCATCCGTGTATAACTCCAAAGGGTTCGTGGTGTCAGGAACTTGTAATGTAGTGAAATCGATTCTGTCCCCTTTAAGGTGCTGCACCGCCTTTGTGTGAAGTTCTGTCCATTTGAAACTAACATCTTTACGTGTAAGATCAACCAGAGGCCGCGCAACGTCTGCATAATCAGGTCCCATGAACATGCGACAGTAATTTATGGTGGCGAAGAACTGGCGCACTTACGTTTCGTTTTCCAGCACCTCTGGTCAGTGCCGGATAGCTTCGATTTTGTCTTCTGCAGTTTTGATGCCTTCGGCACTGATAGTATAACCCAAGTATGTGATTGCTTGCCTAGCGAACTTGCATTTGCGGAATTTTGGGTAGAATTGGTTTTGCAGGAAAGCACTGAGAACTTGTCGCAGGAGGGAAACGTGTCCAGGGAGGTCGGAACTATAAATAAGTACATCATCTAGGTACGCAAAAACACCCTGTCCTAATAAAGGCTGTAGATAGGCATTAATGTTGGCCTGAAACGTAGCTGGAGCACCCTTAAGGCCAAAGGGCATAACTCGATAATCAAGTTGCCCTTGAAAGGAACGGAAAGCCGTCTTTCAACAGTCTTCCTTAGCCTGGAATCCTGCTTCAGGGTCCAGAGTGGAAAAGTACTTGGCGCCTTTCAGCATCTCCAGACTGGTTTGAATGGGAGGTGCTGGAAAATCAGGAGCGACTGTAAGGGCATTCAGAGCCTGGTAAACAACAAGCATACGCATATTCCGCTCCTCTGAACCATCATCACTCTTGTCGACCATTATCTTAGGAGAGCAGATAGATGAATATGCTGGTCCGGTCCAACCACTGTCCGATAATTTAGTTATCTTCTGTTCGTGGAATCTGGGGTCATTCGGTATATCGAAGATTTCGCTGAGAGTTTTCCAGGTACAAATAGGATATGGTGATCATGAGGGCGCTTCGGCGGTAATCCTTTAGGTACGTTATCGGGGAAGACCGCCCGATACTCTTTCAACACCTTGGTAATCTCGAATGGAATAGCTTGTGCCTCTGCCGAATTTATCCATTCGTCGAAAAGTGCGTGTTCGAGTTTTGCCATAGGCCATGGAGACTCTTCTTCATCCTCCGCTGTTGTCAAGGCAGTAGAGGCCAAAGGACAGCTACAACCGGAGGCTTTGGGTCGATTCCTTATCAACACGCAGCAAAGTGCTCCTTGCTACTCGTCCGTGAACCTCAGTGCCACTGACAAGCCAGCGTCGGGCAAAGCCTGGATGCAATGCGAACCGTGCAATGGTGCCCTGAGATTCCTTGCGTCGGCCGCCGCCTGGAGAACAAGCGACGTTATCCGTGCCTTCGCCTTAGTCTTCGCTTGGGCTTTATACCTTTTAGGTGGCGGCCGTAGGAAGTGGAATCTGGGGTCATTCGGTATATCGAAGATTTCGCTGAGAGTTTTCCAGGTACAAATAGGATATGGTGATCATGAGGGCGCTTCGGCGGTAATCCTTTAGGTACGTTATCGGGGAAGACCGCCCGATACTCTTTCAACACCTTGGTAATCTCGAATGGAATAGCTTGTGCCTCTGCCGAATTTATCCATTCGTCGAAAAGTGCGTGTTCGAGTTTTGCCATAGGCCATGGAGACTCTTCTTCATCCTCCGCTGTTGTCAAGGCAGTAGAGGCCAAAGGACAGCTACAACCGGAGGCTTTGGGTCGATTCCTTATCAACACGCAGCAAAGTGCTCCTTGCTACTCGTCCGTGAACCTCAGTGCCACTGACAAGCCAGCGTCGGGCAAAGCCTGGATGCAATGCGAACCGTGCAATGGTGCCCTGAGATTCCTTGCGTCGGCCGCCGCCTGGAGAACAAGCGACGTTATCCGTGCCTTCGCCTTAGTCTTCGCTTGGGCTTTATACCTTTTAGGTGGCGGCCGTAGGAATATGGTGGCCTCCTCCGCTGACATACCCGCCACTTGCTTAGTCAAAATGTCATATGCTTGCTCCGCAGGAGTCCTTAAGGGTGCTACTATGTGACTGTAACCTTAAGTGTTTCTTCACCCGTTCTGACGACCTGTAACTCATACCACTGGCTGTTCGCATAGGTCCGGAGCTTGTCGGACTGAAAATACCAGGCCACTTTATTAAGTCAGCCAATCCAAACCCAACACTAAATCATAGGGAACGGGTCCCACTAAGAAGACCCCGGAAAACGTGCGTGTCCACACCACATTGTCAACCCCGTCACAACTCGATCAATGCGTAATTGTTCACTTGTAGCAACAGTGAACCTATGCTCTTCTGGAAGTCTCCGCACCCTCAGCTGCAATCGCTCGACTGTTTTAGGGTTAATGAAACTTCTCGAAGCGCCTGTGTCTAAAAGCGCCTCGCATGAACTTCCTGCAAGCTCAACGCGAAGTACCGCTGTTGCACCCACGTAACACAAGGCTCCTCCTTGGTTGCGAGATTCTTTCGCACTAGTTTCCCGACACCAGTGCGGCATAGTCTCTATCGCTTCTGGCCTGCAGTCTTCTTCTGTTGCCTCTTCAGATTTCCCGCTGCTATCCGTCTTCTCTCACGGAGTCTCTTCACTCCCCATCGGCGCCGGCCCAGACTCCAACCGCGCTTCCGAAGGCGGCTGAGTCCCCTGCACGACCTCATCGCCCGTTTTATTTTCCTTTATCGAGTTGAGGAGACGGTTTCCCGCTCTAGGGAGACTGGAATGGCATTAGGTCCTGTCGCTACCGCACATGTCATCCCTTTGCCATGGCTACGCGGCCTAGAACGCTCGTCTCCAGCCACGCCTAGGCCTCACGGTTTAAACGTTCGGCCTTCTCAGTGCTGGGACGGATATGGTGCCTACTGCTCTTGTTTTCCGGCTCGGCACAGCATCGGCCGTGTGTAGGACAGTCCCGAGCATAGTGCCCCACACCTCCACAGTTCTTAGAGGCCTCGCCCGGGCGCCTTTGCTGGGACAAACTCGTCCTGGGTGTCCACGAGCCTGACACTCCTAGCAGTTTGCGGAGTCTCCTCCAGGCCTAGCTTCATTTTCCTGCTTCCAACGGGTTGCATTTGCCTATGTAGCAGGTCTTATTGCTCGACTCGCCCTTTGTCGTAGATCTAGCACAGTTGCTTAGGTTCATAGAGTCGCGCTGCTGAGTTCTTAGAGGCCTCGCCCGGGCGCCTTTGCTGGGACAAACTCGTCCTGGGTGTCCACGAGCCTGACACTCCTAGCAGTTTGCGGAGTCTCCTCCAGGCCTAGCTTCATTTTCCTGCTTCCAACGGGTTGCATTTGCCTATGTAGCAGGTCTTATTGCTCGACTCGCCCTTTGTCGTAGATCTAGCACAGTTGCTTAGGTTCATAGAGTCGCGCTGCTGCTGTCGCCGCTTGTTCCCAGGAGCAATACTTCACCAGCCCATTATTTGTAATGAGAAGATGGAGGCCAGTTGGTAGCCCAGCACAGTAGAAGTCAGCGAGTTCGTCGAGGGCGATCCCAACTCCACGCTCCGCTATAGCCGCAAACTGGTCCGTATACTCTTTAGGGTTTCTATTCCACCGTACTTTACCCAAGTCCGTTAGTAGTTGACTCTGCAACATTGTCTTGTCGAACTGTTCAAGAAGCCGGCGCTGTACCGTCGCCCAGTCGCCTAGGTCAATAGTTGGCTGTAGATACATCCAATAAGTCAGAGCCGGACCCACAAGATGGTCGATAAGTGCGTTCCCCCACTCACTGGTCTCTAGTCCCATCTGCGTGTACCGTCGTTCGATAAGCATTAAAAAGGCCTGCATAGTACTGCCGTCTTCAGGGAGTATTGGCGACTTTGCGCTCGATTCTCCAGACCCGCCTATAACATTCTTTATCACAGCCATCGCAGAGTGGAAGTGGTCCCACGTGACGTACGGACTGTCCCCTGGCATGCCGTTCACATTTGCTATAGGTGCCACATGCTGGGCTGTCTCCTTATGCCCTTGCGGCCGCTGTGCCATAGTGCCACAGGGTAGCATGTCGAGGTTGCGTTGCTGTTCCACTGGGCAATTTGTTTACTGACATTGTAGAAGTCTCGTGTTGCATAGGTCCGACTACGCATCCGTTGCGTAGGTGCATCCCTTACTCAGCTAAGATATCTAGGTGCGAATTATTAAAGCAAAGTATTTCTACCCTCAGGTCCGGGAAAAATAGTTTTTAGGCCCCGTAACAGCCTTCAAATGTAGTACACTGCGTTCTCTGCAGCGTCTACGATGCTGCACTGCCCACAACTCGGGCGTTCTAAGAAATATTCTCTACCACCGATGCATCGGTCGCGTAACATCTACAAATGTATTAAAAAGACCGTTTTGTTTCGAGTTGTCAAACCATATTTTCACAAAAGTCATTTTTTCATGTTCTTGCTATGCTGGTCCGGTGAGGATGTAACGCGCATCTGTGCCGGCGTTGTCGGCAGCCCCACCTAGAGCATTCGCAGACATTTCTAGTGTATACACGTTAATTTGTTAATAAGTTGTATTTGTATTTCACTAGTAAGAGGTTACGGCACTCAATCCTCGTCTCAACCTCTTAACTGTCTATAGGTCATCAGTTAGCCATCCTCTATAGGTCACCAGCAAGCCCTGTTGTAGTGCCTGCACACTACGTATAGCTAGCTGATGACCTATAAGATGTTAACACGCTGATCTAGGGCAAGAAGGGCTTACTAGTAAAGAAATAAGACAATTTTTCAGAAAATTAGCATGTGCAAACCAGACGTGTCTGTGAATACCCGGAGATTGGAGCTGGTGATAGCGCCGGCACCGGTGTGGGACACTAACCAACAGGGCCAAGGAAGCAAGAGTTTTGAGTTGGGGGACTTTTAAGGAAAATCATTTCCCGAAGTTGAGAAGATGACTGCTATTATTGACATTTTGGTACTTGTTTCATAGGAGATGTGTCGAAGATAGAAGGTTTTTCGTAGTGCGCCCTATTCGTGGGCGAGCTAGCAGCGTAGTCGCAGCTGAAGGCGCTGTGCACTACGCTCTCCTCCATAGTTATAGCTCGCTCCCATGTGGCTGCAGCCTGCTCTTCATTGTCTCGTTCCCAGACTAGCCATTTTTCTCATGCTTTACTTTGGAGAGTACAAAACCTACAATGGAACCACTGCTCCACTAGCTCCCACTTTGTTTGCTCTAGAGTGCCCTTTAGGCATATGCGCACTGTGATAGGGTAGCGATAATTAGGTGCACAAACACCTGCTTACATGCTCGCTGACGGCCTCACCATCACATCGGCTAAGGGAATTTGTGCAAAACCTCAGAAGCTCCTTACAACGCTTCCATTCTTGTGCTTTGGGGGTTGTTAACCTGTCGAAAGCGCACTTTCCAAATCATCCTTCAGTAACAGACCCCGTTGGAGCTTCATGCAGGCTTTTACTTGTTGAGCTACAGGCTCAACAAGATAGCAGGTCTATCGTCATTCCTGTAAGCCAGAGATGCCCCCGCGTGATCCCTCGCACTATCTTTTGTAAGTGACTTCGTTTTTTTATTTTCTATTTGCCCTGCTCAAAGATTTCATAAGAAGAATCCAGTTTTGTTTTCGCAACAGGAAGGTCTCTGATGTGAAGGACTCGCGTATGGCCCACTCGTTAAGGAATCTCAGGACGAACTCTGAGCCAACATGATCTTCCGAAATCTCAGGGTGTGCGTGTGTGATCTGTTGTTAATAAGCTTGAGGCTTGCTGCGGGTCACATAGTGCTCAACAGCCCTTACGTATATTACGCCGAGCTCATGTCGGCTCTCCCATGCATGGTTTTCTAAGAAGGCCAAAGGACCTAAAGCTAAGGAACAGATCTGGGGTCTGTCAGCATCACGTAAAGACGGGGCGTGAACAGACACTGCACTTCTCTTTGCATTGCTGCAAGCCCCGAACGCTCGGCTTCTTTACAATGCTCCCAAGGCATGGCCTTTTTCAGCATGTCATCGCATAATATTACGAATATGTCTATATGGCTCGTTTATTTTCCAGAAAAAATACCTGCAGGCCAGTACTGCAATACTGCCCAGTACAACGAAACACTAGTGCTTCTCTGCAGTGCACTATGCAGCAGTTTATGAATGCAGATACTCAACAGTGGCGCACAGGAGGCCGCTGTTGTCTATGAACTTCGGCACAGCTGCGAGAACCATAAAAGATTGATTGGACTTATTGGAAGAGCAGAACAGCTTCAACGTATAGCCAAAGTATGCAAGCCTTCTCCGCGGACGCTCACCGCTGCTCTTGCCCCCTAGCCCATGCTCGCTCCTAACACTGCGGCTGCGTCTTATTGGCACTGGACAGTGCCAATGCGCAAAAAGCCAAGAAGCTTTATTTTTTGCTCGCCGTTATATACAAGTTTCGTACTGGGTTGTAGGGCCACGCAGTGCAAAAACCGATGCGCCACATAATTCGCCCCACCTGATTCTCGAATTTGCCAAATATTGTCGAAGCCTTGTGGGGCTAGCATGATTTCGGATGTTTGCATCATCTACAACGAAACATAAGTTAAAAATTTAGTAGCTCGGCTAAAGGCGTTTTGCATTAGCCTCTGCGAACCTGAGGCTGGCGTGTCGCTCTCATCAGTCCCTACCGAGTGTGGCGAACCGCTGTGAAGGCAGTTTCCGTTAGAGTCGGTACCTAAATGAGTTACAAAATAAATGCTCTAGACGCTTCTAAAAAATTCGTTTCAATCTATGGTGATAGAAGAAATGCTGCAGGCAACGCCGAAAACTAGTGCCACGACCATGGACGCTGTTGTAAATGAGCCCTACGAAGCCCGAAATCTACGCACTGCTGTTGAGTGCACCTATATTTTTGTGAACTTTATGATAATTTCTGCTTAACGACTATAATTTTAAACCTAGCTATGCCCTAGTCGCACCGGCGCAAATTTACATCCAAGACCCTCCCCCTATCCTTTGCAAGGCAGAGTGGGATCGAGGTCACCCACCACGCAGACGCGCCTTCCACGTAGGACGCACTTGTTGCTTGCAACAGTCTTTAATTTTTATGCCTAAGACCCACAAGCGTGCTCGTTGTTTCGGTCAGCTGAAAATGGCTCGTTACGCACTTGGCGCAATGCTGTTCACGTGCCTAGCAGCAGCGGCTGCGGGCAGCTCGGCTGATGCTGTGGGCAACACTTTTCTTCTGAAAAATGCAGACAGTCTGCCAGGTAATAGCTTCGTCATAGAACAGGAGCCCTACTTTAGGGGCAAAATTTCACAAGGGCGGACGAAGCCACTCCTCGTCCTTTCGTTCTTGACTGCTGTGCTGGCGGTGGCCTACATTATTTTGAAATGCTTCAGAGCAGTCGTCTCCTCTCCTCGATCCGCACTAAATCTGAGAGGACTCTCTGATGAAGGCTCCCCATCTTGCTCCGTAAGTAACTAGGCCACTAACTACTGAGCAGCAAATGCCGTTAAATTCTGAAGTAGTAGAGCGAGGCTATCTTGCAATTACATTTACTCCATAAAGTTTTTTCGTAATAAGGACTAACCTTTATTACCGCCAAATAAAGTGTGCCTTACCTCGTGTCGCGCTAAGGATCCTTGCAGCATCCTGAGTACCATACGAAAGCTGCTGGTTCAGTACTCTCCCTTTTTGTTTCGAAAACCTAGTAAAAATGCACTCCACGAACCTTTGTCTTTCTGTAGGCAGTGAGACTAATGGGAATCTTGGTTTTAGCTGTGCAGAGCTTTGTAGCGTCGTGAGCCCTGTGCGAAAGCTGTTTTTTCAGCACTCTTCCTTTGTTTCTATCGCCTAATAAAAGTGCAGCCCACCAACCATTGTCTTTCTGTAGGGGTGAGACCGATGGGAGTCTTGATTTTAGTTGCGCAGAGCTTTGTAGCATCGTGAATGCCGCGTGGATGCTGGTAATTGAGCAATCTTCCTTTGGTTCTAACACATAGTAAAAATGTGCCACCAACCATTGTCTTTCTGTAGGAACTGAAACTGATGAAAGTCTTGGTTTTTGCTGCTCAGAGCTCTTTTAGCATCATGAATGCCGTGAAGAAGCTGTTATTTCACCACTCTTCCTTTGTTTCAGCACTCTTCCTTTGTTTCTATCGCCTAGTAAAAAGTCACTCCACCAACCATTGTCTTTCTATAGGAGGTGAGACTGATGGGAGTCTTGGTT